ACTAAGAGCATTACACACTGCTTTCCCCATATACTCAGAAAGAAAGGAGGAAAAAAAACCCCCAAAACCACACACCCCAGAAACAAAAAGGCCAACAATTACTGCTTACTTCACCTATATGTGGTACATCAAATGCTTCAAAGTAGCCGAATTCATCCACAACTTATCTGAAAGTCAGCACCAAAGTTTCAAATCCTTTTAAGATCCCCCAGTTGCAACACAGAGCAAAGTTTGATGTTTTTAGCGTGCCATAAAGCTCACCAAGAGGCTGCTGTACCAAGAAGCTCAGGCTCCAGCAGTCTGCTAGCCAGGGAAGCAGCTAGGCCCCTAGGATTGGGAGCAAGGTTTGCTTATAAACTTTGCAACTCCTGTCCAAGAAGATAGAAAATAAGGCTTCTAAGTGTTCCCTAGCTAACAGTCCGACCCAACTGAGAAAGTCAGACACACACAGGTCCTCTATTTTTAATAAATTCTCTATGCTGGAGGAGCTGCAGCCTTTTGTGTTGAAGGATTTCACGTTCATGTTCTGTAAGGGTCCCGTGCAGACATCAAAGGAAAACATTAAACTTCCTCCGCAAGCCTTAGGCTGATTTCAGAGGATACATCACTGCATAATGTTTAGCAGTTGGATCACAGTAATTCATGAAAAAAAGAAAGTGCAGGACGCCCGCAAGACATTCCCTACATATTTCCATAATCGGGGATATTTCTGCTGAATTACTGTTCACGTAGCAAAAAAAAAGTCAGCAAGCAAGACACTAACGCGGCTGCGTTTGGCCTGTATCTTTCTGCTCTTGGCCCCATCCTTTTCTACTGGACACCAGGTACACATGAATTCAAACAGAAAAGGCTGACAAAGAGTTTGAATAGCACAGAGTAGGCAGAAACCAGCATCACATCTGCCACTTTGAGAAAGGGATGGTATTTACACTGTTGAATGTCTATTACCTTAGCTGTTCCCCCAGGCCCCACTAGAAAATGATGTGGAAGGCACATTTCTCAAGAAAAGTCCCTCTATCTCCTTCCTGGAGAGGTTTTGCCACCATTGATGATCAAATAAATATTTTTCTTAAACATTCTAAAAACCATGGGATGTTGTGCCTGGGAAGGATAAATATAACGAGCATCTTTTACTTATTTTTTGGCAATTGGAAGGTATTGAAATATGCTTTTTAACTACAGTCGCCTGGCATGGTATTTTTGTTTTTACAGTAAAGCCAAAGAGGATTAGAACACACTGTACTAATTCACAAAAAGAGACAGTACCTGCTCCAAAGCTTTATCTTCCAAGCAGACTGGACAAAACAGCAGCATTTCAATCATACAGGTGGGGACGGGAGGAAGACAGACATTGACTTACTCGGGGTCACACAGGAATCTGTTGCATGGTGAGGCTGAGTTCCCAAAGTCTCAGTCCACTTAGGCATTGGAAAAAAGCAATGAAACAAGAGTATGTACTAAATTTGGCACAGATTTTTAAATCATGCATTGCTGCAAGGGAACAAGAACCTCCACTCATGCTAACCCAGGCACCAAAGGAACATAGAAAGGAAAACTAGTTACTCACTCCACCCAATCTATCTGATCACCTTGTATTTCCTCAGTCAATAAGACCTTTTTTGGCCAGACGATCCAACCCACAATTTAGATCTTATTACAAATCAGACATACTAAACCACTTTCTCCCTCTGGCTGCAGAAGATAAAAGGCCAAGCAAGCAGGCAACATTTTAGTAACTGGCTTCATGTAACAGCTTCGGATTTTCTTAAAAGCCTCGGCATCGATTATTTTCCTTAAATAGCAATGGCTTATTGAGAAACCTTCTACCCATTTTAATGCAGAAGGTTCTCCTCAAGTAGAAAAGAAAGCAAAAACCACCCTGCCAAGGCATATTTGTCAAAGTTTCAGATACCCAGTCCTAGCAAAACACTTTGAAGTGAGAGTAAGTTAACACTGCTGCTGAAGGGCTAAGAGGGGAAACTGGGAGATGAAGAGGAAATAAAGTATGGACTGACAGAGAACAATACTGGGATTCAGCTCCAGCTAGCGTTTCAGCCAACGGCATGAGCCAACGCTGCAATTTGTATGTATCCAAAGGAGCTAAAAGCTCACAGCATGCAAAGCAGCACAGCTCTCATGTGGTCTCTGCACAACTTGGGGCAAAAGGAATAGAGGAATTAATTTCATCAAGCCAAATCACCAACACCCTGCTGTTACATAAAAGCCTGTTTTCTGGGAAATGTTTCCAAAGATGGTGTCATTCGGGCTGTTTTGATTAAAGTGACATAGTCAGGTTCAAGATGGGATACACTGCAGACTGAGAAACACTCTGGTTTGACAAAATCTCCCACTCCCTTTCCAATCCTCGTGGCGCTTGTTTCTTCCTTCCGTTTGCCACATTTTCATATGGAAAACAAGCACGGCAATCGCACTGCCTGGTTCTCAGATGCTAATATAAGGCTGTGATGAAAGAACTGCAGAAGGCCTCAGGGAGATGTTTAAAACCTAACTCAAACAGATAAAAAAGATGACTATTTAAGTTTGCCTGGGAAAGTTTCTACACATATTGGAAGCCCCTTGAGACAGGGACTGCCTTTCTGTTCTCAGTTCAACAGCCAGTTGTACAAATTGTGATTGCACAATTACTTTTATAAGGTTTTCAATTATACAAAGAATGTATCTTATTAAAGTTTATAACTCTGAGAAATAAACCTAAAGCCCCAAACGCTTTGCATTCACGTTGCATGAGCCACTAGTGCTCCACCACAATGTGGTCCCAACACGACTACAAATTTACACCACAGCCTAGAGTGAACTTTGTATCGAGCGGATAGAAGCGCGCACTGCAGCACGCTGTAGTTAATACTTCCATGATTCAATACACATAGCCTCATATTGTGCTTTTATACCTTCTCTCCTGTGCCCATATTTTAGCAGTCAGCATTCTTGGGCAGTTACTGCACGCCTCCACGGCTGGAAGCTCAAATTCCAAGCAGTCTGCAGCACTGGCATTGCCCTGCTGGAAGCTACTTACCTGCAAAGCTGGCTGCATTGCACAGGGGACAAGAAGGATCATGGATGTGGAACAAGGAGGGGAAGGAAATGCCAAAGGTGAAACCACTGGGCATGCATAGCCTTGTGTTTTCCCTGACTGGGGACCAGCCATGTCAAAAAAAAAAAAAAAAAAAGCATAATTGCATAGAAGCAGTAAGTAAAACAAGTCTCCTTCTTTATTCAGGAAAGCATATTGTGTCCCGACAGAAAATCCCAGCTAGTAACAACTCTCCCAATGGAAAAGCAGAGGAGTGACCACCCCATTTCACAGATACCTCAACTGAGCACAGGAGCCTGAAGTCACATAGCTGGTCTGAGAGCCTAAATATATTTCACAGCCAGACCTGGCCATGGATGGCTGTTGACATCTACACGTCAAAACTTCTTTCTGTTGAGGAAATGTATAACCTCCTCCGCTTTAAAAGCTTGAGGCCTTGCAGTCCCTCAAGGACAGCTCTGCTAAGAACCACTGCAATTGTACCAGAAGAAGAGGAGCCCCCATGAGGCCCAGAATGACTCACAAGTGTCAGCCTAACAGGGTGCCTGTCTATCCAGAAACTGCAAAACCCCAAATTGTAGCAGTCTGCAATCAGCATTATTCATACCACAATACTTAAATTGAATTGTTTGGCACGGAAACAACATCAGAGGTAGGCATCAACCTGGCCCATGCAACAACCAAGAGAAAGAGGAAGGAGACAGCCTCCAACAGAAGACAGGTCTGAGCACCCAACATAGAGAATCCAAAAGGACCTCCGCCGCTGCCAAGATGTCAGCCCTGTAAGGACACGTGCCCTTGGTGCAAGGTGACACATTCTAATCTTTTCTGTGCAAACAGGAAGAGGGGAAGTGCTACCCACTTTCCAACGGGCAAAGCACCTCTGTCCCTTGTGCTCCTGGCCTTTCTCTCAAGGCTGCTCCAAGAAGCTGAACCGGTTTAAGTTGCATGTGCACCCCCACACACACAGAGCTCTCAGTGCAATTTCCTCTCATCTCAGCTAATAAATCTTATGGTGCGTCTGCTTTTTCTGAACATAAATTTCATAAGCTGAATAAACTTTACGGAACAGTTGATTGCCAAGGCAACCCAAACCTGGAAACTTGATGCCTGACCACAGCCAGGCACTGCAGGCTCCAATAGAACTCTGAGAAAGTTTAGTTTTCACACTTCAGAAAGAGATTCTCTTACTGACCTGCTCCCTCTGCATCAAAGGCCCCCAACTTACTGGCTCTGAAAGCTTTTAATTTAGATTATCCTCAAGACTCATCTTGTGATCAACAGAACAGAAGACAGGACAAAATCCTTCCACTCTCCCCAGCTCAGAGCACATCCTACCATCCATCCCTTGCTTTTTCACTGCAAAGTGTCTTGTTAGTAGGCTGGCAAAAATACAAGGGTTAGAGCGACAACTCATCAGTCTTTAGAAAGTCGTTTTATATTTTGGTAGAAGTATCAGAGAACCTTCCCTTAAGCAGGGGCTTAAGTGTAATCACTTGGTACAGCTCGGAGTTTAACAGAGCGAACATCTCCAGACACTCAGCCTCCAAATCACGACCATACAACAACCCTTTGGCTACGCTGACAAGCATGTACATGAACAAGAAGTATCACAAAAGTAATTTATGCAGTCCTGGCCATCAGTTAGTGCAGTTTTACAGCTGGAAATGAAAGGGAGGAGGCAGAGACAGACCACCTGTAACCACTCAAGAGGCCCAAATCTGGATACCTGTCCCCTACAGCTATTTTCGAGTTCACTCGAAACAAAAACAGCGGCTCACAAATAGATCCTTTAGGCTGAGAGCCCGTTTTCCAAGCAAAAACTGTGGTACCGGTTAAGGCCGGGCATGTCCAACAGCAACTGACCTGCAACGCGAGCAAACGCACCCTTCCGCTGCCCGGGGAGGAGGCGTCCACCCAGCACCTGTGGGTGAGGTCACGCACGTACCTTGGAAATGAGCTCATCGTGGTTGGCAAGATGAGCCCTGCAGTGAATGCAGCTGTAGGTCCTGTGGCACGAAGGCAGATATGCCTGGAAAGTCTTGGACCTTGTCATCTTCACCATTGGAGCCACTGAGCGCTGCGTGAACTCTGGGGTGGCCCAGGAGGCACTCCCGCAGGACGGGTCGCACGGGAAACACCGGAAGACACAGGTAAAGGCCGTGGTTTGGCAGGTGATGGGTGTGGGGCAGGCTCCACACGCTGGTGACCGCTTCAGAGGAAGAGATTCAGGCAGAGGGAACCGGGGACTTCACACAAACCTAAGATCAAAAAAAGAACAGAGACAGAACACTCAGCTCACAAAGGCGACAACGGTCTCCAAGCCCACAGGATGATTTAGGGTTTGATTGAGAGAGCAGGGAAGAGTCAGAGCAGCCAGGAGACAGGTGTGATGTCTGCAGATTAGATCAAGGATGACAGAGTTCTATTCACAGCTCAGCCACTGACTTGCTGACTGCCCTCACATCTTCCTGCTTCTGTTATCTACCATCTTCCTATCGCTCCAACATTTGCAATCTCTACTCCAACACTTAATGGATTTGGAAGTGACTACAGAGCCACAAAGATGCTAAAAAGATGATTCTCATCAAGCCTAGTCTCCCAAACACGTCTGAGGAACCACACATATCAAAGGTTCAACCCTGCACCACCCCTTGGAGAAGCCGGGCTCTGTTAGCTAGGGGGAATGTCGGGACCCGGAGTCGGCCCTGCCGGCTGCTGTCCTGCGTGACTCACTGATGCGACACCCCGGAAGCACACGGGAAAGCTGGGAGCTGGAGGTGGGTTTCCTCAGCCACCAGGAAAGTGCAGGAGTCACCAAACCAGTTCTTCTCTCCATTCTGCCCTAGTTTCCACATGGAAAATGGAGGATTACTTCATTGCACTCTCCTCTATAATTCCCTGCAAGCTCTGAAGGTAGAAGCTACTCTATAAACAGCACTCTAGTTTTTTGGTTTTTTTTTAAACTCAGAACATCTGACAGCAGTCAAACCAAGGAACAGCCTCCAAAGACTACTCTTGATATCAAGAGGCAGTTAAAATCCTATTCAGGATGGAAACACCTTTTTACTATTCAATGTCATCTGACAGAACCTACAAGGCAGCTCAAGTCTGGGTCTTTTTTTGTGGGCAGAAATCGGTTTTTCAGATCCCACACCTAAAAGGCTTACCAGCTACAAACGTTTCTTTTGAGGATGGAAGAAGCATAAAGGATAAAGGAAGCAGTTCCCCTCCCTCCCTGATACATGGCGTGCATGCATGCTCTAGAAATTAATCATGAACTCTGGCTGCTCCTCCCATGAGGATTTTCCCTTCCATAAAACATGTGATTCTGTTCAGTTTCTGAGTCTGCACTTTGTGTATCAAATACTGGAACACCACCAAACCCCCCAAAACCCAAGAAAACCAAGAAATAAAACTCCCACACCTGACCTACAATGGAAATTTCTGAAGTGGGCAAAACAGAAAAGTACAAGAGCTTAAGAACTGGTCTCTAAGCCGGTATGAGTAACTTGCCTGAAGCACAGCTGATAATCTTCCAGGTTAGAATAAAGCCAGCCCAGGTCACTATGTTGCTGCACTGCTAAAATAGTATCTCCCCAGAGTTTGCGTATTAAGGCGGCTCTGCTGCTGCTGCTCAGTGGGATGTGCTTTCCCAGACAGACCACCAGCCACACACCGGCTCGAGGTATGCCGCAGAGAACTGACGGACTAGGACGACTCTAAGCAAACACATCTCTCTGGTTTGCTGAAGGGGAAACTGTCAAAACAGCGGAATGGAAATTAGAAAGTCAATCAGGGAACTGAAGGCAGGACCCAAGATAACTGCTGCAGGAGGCAGTCCTGCGGAACTCATAAGCATCCCATTTAGAACATCTCTTTTGCCCAGCGTTAGCATCAGTCAGAAGTACCCCTCCATGACAAAACTGTCCAAGTCATACTGAAAACAACAACAAAAATCAGACTGCGACTCCATTACTGCTGCCTGCTGGGAAGCCTCATGTGTGATCACTGTCAGACAGTGAGATCTGCAAGAAACCTCATCACTTAGGTACCTAAGCACCTTCTATGGAAACCCATCTTCACGCTTCTGCTCCTAAGTCTTCTTGTCATTGTTGAAAAAGAAGATTCAAGGTATCCAAGTTGCTTCAGCATTTCTGAGAGCATAACGCACTGAACCTACTGCCAGCTGGACAATCCCCGAAAGCCAGGCATGCTATCTGCAAGCTTTCCAGTAAACAGTTCCTACCAGCACTATACTGGAGGGTTTCTCATAGGCTCACACGAGCATCGTTAGGTGCAGTCAAAGGTTCATTACATTATGACCATGCACAGTGCTCAACAGGAGGCAGACACCAGTAAGACAATAGGATATCCTTTTTTTTTTTCCTGAAATATTTTTCTTCTGGTCTCCAGAAGGCAGCTCCCTTACAGTGAAATGGGAAAAAAAAAAAAAAGAAAAAAAAAGTGTCTTGCTCATCCTGCAAACTGCTGATAAAGCATATCTATCATGATCATAATAGTCAGCACTTACATAGCACTTTTCATCCTTAAAGCTCTTTGCAAACAGTAACTAATCAGATTAACCTTTTCCAATTAAAGTTACAGTGAGAGCTTTGGAAAACCCATCCTGACGCAGAAGGGCTCACTCCCCAGCTTGGTAGGAACTAAACCTCCTCTTGTTCAGTAAAAAAGGGTCTTGCCAGGAATTTATCTGGCCAGCCTGTAGCTAAGCAGACTGCCTGTGCACTATTTGGTACACAGCTGCATCTCTGTATTTCAGCAACATCTGTCTTTTACACTAACCAGAGAAGAAAGAAAGAAAGAAATCAGGCAGTCTTCACCTATATCCTGCCCCAGTTCTCCATGTGCACCAGAATTCTGTCAAAACCGAGTTAGTTTTGCATTAGACAGTGTTGTTTTCCCCTCCAAGGTGAGCAGCACTTGGAGGACTGAAACCTAAGTTTGCAACGGGGCAGAAACAAAATACAAAAAAGCAGAATCCTTCCTTATTTTCTGCTGATTAGATGTAAGTAAAAGTAACACATCCCTCAGCCTTGCTGAACTGAGTGCCAACCTTTACAGTCACAAGACAATAGAACCATCCCCAAATTCCAAGCCCCTGATTCAGCAGCTGATGCACTATATCCCAGCCGTAACGGCTCTCAGAACCTGGAATTTGTGAGCCATGTGCCTTGTCCTCCAAGTGCACAGAAGCAGGAGACTAAGTGTGCTCTTTCTGGGGCCAAACGCAATTGGATTCCAAGGCAAAGCACCAAGCCCTGTCTGAAAGAAACAGATTATGTCAGACAGACCATCTGGAGGAAAGCACAAGGAAGGACTGGCAATCACTTTACCCGATTTCTGAATGAGAAAACAGACTGTGTCTAAACCTTAGATTTCATCGATTTGTAACGAAATGGTGCTATCCCCTCTCTCTCCTTTTACTCAGCACGGATAGGTAAATACACCAACCACCAGTTTTACTACTTCCCTCCTATAGCGTCATGCCAAACATATATTTTCTGATCAGCTTCCTAGCACTGCAGCATGACAGCTGGAGAAAGATGTCCACAGGCACCCTCAAGGCCAAATGAAGACATAAATGATACCCAACCAGAATAACAGAAGAGCAATCCCTTAATTTGTTGTTGCTGACCCCTCTTGTCCAGGCCTCCTAAGCATCAATGCTCTAGAACAACGAGTAAAACAGGAAATACTACAACTGCATTTATCTAGCAGAGAAATGAACACACATGCACACACAAATGATCTGCTGCACGCAGCTTTCTGCAAAAGCATTTAATAAGCATTCATTTATTTGATCTCATAACACATTTTAACGTCAGCAAAAACATTTGACCTTTCAGAAGTGGACAAAGAAAATATTCATGCGAGATGGTATCAGAGCATAGATTAAGATTAATTGCGATTCCTGTTCTCAGCACTGTGCTGAGAAGGCAAACCAAATTGATCTCTGATTAAGAGAGAATAAAGATTTATGAGCCAAGATCTTGGTGGGAAAGCTAAGTAAGAAACTGCCTTGATAAAACACCTTCAGATAAGCTCATATATGGTAGCCATACTTTACAAAGGCACTACCTTCTTACAGCATTCAGCCTGACAGTCTGATCTCTCGTGCACGCTGTCTACCAAGAGCTCTGTCCCCACCATAGTAAGGGAGAGGAGGGAAAAACAATAGGAAATGCATTCTTACATCCTGTAAGAACAGCTAGTAGCTTGTAAGGACCCACTTCTGTCTTGAATACCATCTCAACATGTGTTAAATAGGATCCATGGCTCTCAGCAACGCAAAAAATCTCTTGTATTTTTTTTCTGTCCTAGTAGCAAACACGTTTGAGTTAAATTACATTTAACAGCTAACAGTGCATTCATTCTACTGCAGAACAAAGGCACAACGATGATTTTAGGCTGTGCCTCTGTTTTTTCAGAATGACGAGTTAACGTCCATCAGCCTCACTGACACTGGGCATTAGTGGAGTCATTCCATTCACTTTAAAAAAAAAAAAAAAGAAAAAAAGAAAAGAGATGCTTTGATTACTTCATCATCGTGCCCAATACTGCTAGAAAGACAAGTTTATCTGTCACCAGCAACACAATCCAGTATTTTTCTTTTATCGTTCTTTAATATAAATTTATCTCTGGCACAGACACATTCAAGTCGATGGAGCAGAAATCTGTGCGTATTAATTAGTTCATGAGAAGTCAGAGAACTGGTTTAGACAAAACGACAAAATTCTAGGGGAAAAAGCTTATCAACATCGTTTATTGTGGTTATCAGTGAGAGAATCAGCTGAATGTACTGCTTGCACACACAGGGCTGCCCTGCTTAATCCTGCTAAGTTTTGAGCAGACACCACCTCCATGAAGGAAAAACCATGCCCAACATTTTGCTATTCAAACAACTTGTTGGTCCAGTATATCACCCTCCACCTGTCCAGCAGCCACTTTTCACACGGAGCTGTTTGCAATTCAGGAAACAGAAAAGAAGAAATGCTAAATCTGTGCCAAACACTTGCTAGACAAGGCTAGTGCTTGTACAAGTCCATATGCCACAATGGCAGAAAACAAAAACCATTGTACACAAGGCTAATTTTGCATAAAACTCATGTGCAATGCAGCTCAGATGCAAATGTTCCTGTTCATTCTGGCAGGACAAACAACAGGTTTGTTGGGTCTGAGGGTTTGCTTTATGGATTATTTGATTTTTAAGATAAGAAACTTTAGTCCGTTAAATACT